ATATATGTCGATCGAGTTGGTCAGTTTTGGAGATTTTTCCCTAGCCGATCGACCAATCTAAAGTTTGGGAAAATTCTAAATCGACCGTACATCGACCGATTAGTTGATGAATCCAACCAACCAATGTCACTTTGGTCAGTTAGATCCACCGAAAAAAAGCTAAGTTACTTTAACCTCAAGTTACTTTAACCTCGAGTAAATAAAACAAAATCTAACCATATATGAATAAATAATGTAGCCAAATAAATGAAGTGGACAAAAATGTATACAATACAAAATCAAATACGATATGATACGTCCATTTCTTGAAATAGGAGGTAGTGATGTTTGTGTTGCTATTGGTAGTAGATGGACCTCGCTCCTCCAATAGGAATGTTAAGAAATTTAATGTGGATTGTGACTTGAGACTTTTCTAGCAAACATAAAGAGAGTTTTGTCAACACATTTGTGTTAGGATCGAGGGATGGAATTAGAAACAATTGTATGTTTTGCAGTCAAAGTCAAAGTCATGTGATGATGCAGCTGGTAGCTAGAGATAGCTTTTGGATAGATTAATGTCGTCTTTAGAGAGACAATATATTATATTGATCATGTAGTCGACACCAATTACACAATTTTGCTACTTCGATAATCTCTAAAATGGTTGATCAACATTATATTAGGATACATTAGGACCCTGCTGTGCTTACACTTACGCTACATTTTTCTTGCTTCTCGCTTTGTTTAAGTTAATTAGTCAATCTAATCTATTTATTATTATTATTTTTTGTTGCGAGTACGGGGTCAACCTCTTTTTGACTTTGACCAAACACTTTTTTTCGACGGTCAAGCTTCCTATCAAAAAAGCGATGTGAGAACGTATTCTCTTATATGAACTTGTTCTTGTACTGTATTTGCTCCTCCCATCGTAGATACGGTTTAGCCATGTTCAGTGCCACAATGATTGAGAACCTACGACGGGATCGAAATGATCAATTTTGTTCTTTGTTTTCAACAAGTATTGCATGACCAAATAATTCAAGGAGAAGCGCACTGCAAGGAGGGTTCTTTATTGGCTCGTGCAACTAGACAACATTTCATGAGTTGCTTGTTCAATTGTCCCTCTAAGACATAGTCGATAGGAGTACCATGTATATATGCATGGTTGTCCCCGATCCTTTATTTCTCCTAAGTCTCACCCATGCAAGATACGGCTCAACACAAAAAAAAAAAAAAAAGATCTACTCGAGAAAAGTGTGAGTGTCCACTCCCTCAGTAAATCAGCTTTGCTCTTACTCGAAAAAAGCTAAAAAGTGTTGTTTGATGAGTCCACGTAGTATAAGTATGGTAGTTAGTCCGGTACGACAACATGGAAATCAATACAAATATGGAGGAAACATCAACGCAGGGGTTCGACTACAAGACCTCTCACTCTGATACCATATTAAGGATGAATAAACAACCACTCAACCAAAAAACTTAAGAAGATGGATTGAGTAAATTTAATTCATTTATATAGATTCTCAATATTACTCAAGTTGGCTCTTGTGGTTGAGTTGTTGAATGCATCATCCAGTTAAAAAAGTTCAACACATCTATCAACATGGTAACCCATAGTATGTAATAGAGATTTTAGGAAAAATAAAAATAAAGATATTTTTCATAAGAGTTAATTATTATTTGAGGTAGGAATTTTATTTTTAGAATTATAATTAATCCAAAGAATTTTATTAACATAGTTTGGAAGGATTTCTTTAGCTAGTTCAATAGTATTATTGTTTCTTGTTTTTCGTCTCTCGCTTATTATTTCTTGTTTCTCGTTTCGTTTTTTAATAAATAAAACTACAATTACATTTGGAGTAATTGTTCCTTGTTCTTTGTTTAATTCGTTTCTTTTTATAAAAAAAAGAAATAGAAATATATGTGTTTGGTAACTTTTTTTTCTTCATTCTATAAAAATTTAAATTAAAAGAATAGTGAAAATTAATTTCTTAAATTAAACATTCAATTTTTTATTTTATGTTTATTTTTAAAAATTTATTAGGTATTTATAAGTCAAAGAATAAAAAATAATTTTTTATTTATATTTTAAACAAAAAAACAAGAAACAAGAAACATTATTTTATTATTTTATTGTTTATAAAGTTAAAAAAAACATGTATAGTTTATCAAATACCTACTTTTCCAAAAAAAGAAAAAAAAGAAACAAGAAATAATAATCTATTTTTAGAATCAACTCACTGCTTTAAGTTATATAGGCTCTATAGTGAATAATCATAACAAGAAAGACTTATCTATCTCTTAATTTTAAAGAAGCATTATTTAATTTATTCTATTATATATAATATAAATATTATTCAGTGAAATTTTTTTTAAGTATTTGTGTAAAGTTCTAGATATACAGATTCTTCGAATGATTAGTAACACCTTCATGGGTTTTTCTATTTTAATTTTCACATTCATTTTATCTGTTCTTGATTTTATTTTTTTTCCTATTAATTTTGTCTTTGTTTTAATTATTTGTTAAAAGGGAGAGTTAGGGTTTTGAAAGAAGGGAGTTCTTGAGGGATACACATGAGGACAAAGAAGAAAGGAAAAGACAGATTTGGCCTTATCTCCAAAGCTGCCATGCAACCAATCTTAAGTAATACTCTCTCTCTCTAAACTCAACCATTTTCCATAGCTAGACCTTGCATTTTCTCTCTCTTCATAGTGCAATTGAATTCATATATTTCAAAGATATTATAAGATCCATGAAATAAAAATACATTTAATAATGACAAGATCCAATTAATTATAAGTATGAAATATAGAGTATATATATGGAATAATATAGTTTCATATTATATGATCAGTATTGAAAAATTGGACTATAAGAATGAAATTCTTCCCTCAAATAACTCTAACACAAACTAAAATTGTAGGCATTATTAATACTTATGATACCAAAAAAAAAAAAAAAGTTAATCAATTATATGATTAGGAAAGAATCCATCTCAATGCAACTCTTGCATCTACATTCCATGATCTCTCAAGGATTATGAAGTGTTCATCATATGTTTTCAAGCCTATTTGGGTCTAAAGATATACATAATTAAAGTAATAAAATCATATAATTATGATTATATTCTCCCTCCTTTGTACATCATGAATCAAACCAATTTTTTCTTTTCTTTTAAACTAACTATGTTCAGATCTACAAATCAAAGAAGAGGAAAGAAATATGCTCAGAAATGATCATGTTAGGGCATGTAATTCGGCAAATTTCTACGACATTGAATAGAAAGCAATTCTCTGAAATCAAAACCCATATTTAAATGAATTCCTAGCTGTGATCTTAACATATATAAAACAATAAACTCATAATTAAACATGTTCATCAAATCAATATATATAATTTGTTTTAAACAACAACAAACCCTCATATAAATGATAAAATCGGGAAGATCAAGAGTATAAATATAATCTTTAAACATTTTCAGAAGATGGGATCTTGAAGAGAGATCAGTTGATCTTATTCCAGTGGATGGATTATCCAAAATACGATCTTTCTATTATCGGTACATTATTAACAAATTATAGACATAACCCACGTACTTAATTTCAATAATAATGTTCAACAGCTGTTTAATATTCTCATAGCTCCGGCGGCGG